TGTGTGCAAGTGTACCTAGAAGAACTGATGCTGTTTTGAAGGCAAAGGGTGGTCACACCAAATATTGATTTGATTTGGGTTTTTTTTTCCTGTTTGCTCACTTTGCATTTTGTAAATTGGTAAACAAACAATTACAATATATATTTTTGAAAGCATTCTTACTTTACAGCATTTTTTCACACCTGCCTGAAACTTTTGCACAGTACTGTGCATGCATATGCGTGTGACACCAAATATTGATTTGATTTGGGTTTTTTTTTCCTGTTTGCTCACTTTGCATTTTGTAAATTGGTAAACAAACAATTACAATATATATTTTTGAAAGCATTCTTACTTTACAGCATTTTTTCACACCTGCCTGAAACTTTTGCACAGTACTGTGCATGCATATGCGTGTGTGCGTGCATGTGTATATATATGAAAGTTAGGTGGCAGGGTGTCAAGTTATGCATTGAGGATTTTATATTTATATGAATGTGATTCTTATGACAACTATCCATATATTATAGTGCATATTGGTTTTACTGTGTCTGTAATTTCTTTCCTTTTAGCTGAATTGTTCCTTTTAGTTTTGGCTGGACTCTCTCTGGAGGGTGGGAGCAAATATAATTCTGACTTGCTGGGTTGGATGATTTCTTTGGCCTTGTGGTATTGTTTGGCTTGGTTGAGCTGCACCTGTACAATGCACTTAAACCAGGTCATGTATAAGATTTAAGTGGCTGTGTTTGCACAATAGGTGAAGCTTGGTTTGTTTCATCCATGCCTTTTGGTTTGTTGGTTTCTTGTGGCTTTGTGTATTCTGTGAACTTTGGCCATTTGGTTTATTGTAATGTGGGGATCTGGAGAAGGAGCTAATTTAGTAGCCAAGTTAAGGGTTCCTATGTGCATACAATTTCCCGTTGGGAGAGATGGGCGGCATATAAATTTAATAATAAATAAAAATACAGCTGGTGATTATGGGATATATAGAATGTGTCCACCTAGGTGGTCTTCAGATGTGTTGGAACCACAGTTCTTAGTTTTCAAGCTAAATGGTCTTTATTGGCTAGGAATTCTGGGAAGAGCATTTATCGTCTTGGATTAAAATACCAGTAGTCCTCGACATACGACCATTCATTCAGCAACCATTCAAAGTTACGGCCGTGCTGAATGAAGGGACTTACAACCTGTGGCTGAAGTTTTATTTATTTTTTTAATTTATTTTCAAATTTGTATGCCGCCCATCTCCCCCAATGGGTGACTCTGGGCGGCTCACAATAATAAAAAAGTTACAGACTTTGCAGTGCCTTTGCAGCCAAATGATCAAAATTTGGGCAGTTGGCAGCCTGTCCACACTTACGACCACAAGGGTGCTTCAACTCCCCCTGCCCACCTATCTCCCTCCTCCATCTCTGCCCTTTTGGCTGCCCCGCACCCTGCCTTGCTGAGTGGCAAGCAGTCCTTGAGCTGCGGCATGCCAAAAAGCCATCTTAGCTGTACCCTCAGATCAGAACTGCCTGGGAATTGCAAGGAAAGGATCTAGCAGAACTGAACCAAACTGGGGTCTGACTTTGCCATGCTGCTGTTCCCTGTGCCTCCTCACCCCGCTTCCCAACCCTCTTTCACCTGTTGGGTTTTTCCAGGATAAAAGTAGCTCCCCCAACCTATCATTTAAGTCTAAGTCTGCAGGGAATGGCTTTCCCCCTTAAAAAAATCTGTTGCCAAAGGAAGACCCGAAGAAATGAGGCAAACTGAATGGGAGCTCAAGCTCCACACTTCCTCCCCACATCCAACTATCTGATTTGGAAGAAAGATCTCCTGCAATGGGGTTGCTAGCAGAGCAAACACGGCCTCCCACGCGGGGCTCTGTTTCTGCAAGGACTGCCACCATCACCTCACCTTCTTTGCCTCTGTGTTGGTTTGGTAGTTGGCAGCTGAAGTTTATAAACTGCGTGCAGTACTGTTACTTTTGTTTTTTAACATTATTCTCTAGAAGAACCAAGTGTTGGGGGACGATCAAGGGAAAAAATAAAGTTTTAAGGGTGAATTAAAACGTATTTCTTACAAAAATCTGCTTTGTATATTTTGTCTGTGCAGGGAGATGAATGCTGTTTTCTGGAAGAGAGGCTAAACTTGAAGTACCAATATTGGAAAGGTGTTGGCTATGATAGGCTTTATTGGTTGATCATATGCAGCCTTGTCACTTTTTCTGTGTTCTGTTTGCTTCTGCAAATAATTGTATATCTTCCTGAAAGGCATATTTTCCCTCAAACAGCACCATGCACCCCATAAGGCCTACATTTCGGGGTGGTGCCTCTTTCCAGATGTCTGTTGCTGGGCACATGCCAAAATCTCAGCTACAGGTGCCTGAGGCTGAAGATACCACAGATATCGGGGGCAAATCCCTTCTTTCAACAGGCAAGACAGAAGGAGGGCTCTCGTCACCAAGAGGTGGCCAAAAGGTGAATAGATGATTTTACAATAGCAGTTGATTCTACATAAATTTCTGCTGGAAAGTAGTTAGGAGGAGCCTATTGAATCTATGGTACTTTCCTCCCTTACCTGGGATAGTTGGTTTCATAGAATGCATGGGTTTGCTGAAACTGACTGGATAGAAATGATTTTTTCTTTGCAGTGAGTCTTGTGTCTGACGTGTTTATAGCTGCTGCTCAAGGAATGCTTATGAGGTCAGAACATAAAACTTTATAAAAGAACAAAGAGAAAAAAAAAGTTAAGATCTATTACTGTCTTTACTCACTTTCAGTGGAAAGTGACATAATTGTCAGCTTTCCACAATTTTCTTTTTTTCTAGGTTTTTTAGGATCTTTTGAACCTGGTTTTTAAAGACAGTCTTGATGTTCCCCTTTTTAAACTACTGGTTACATTTCTTCTAAAAAAAAAAAAAAATGAAATAGTGGGGCAGGCAGACAGGAAATTGTTAACTAATTCCAACCTTCCCAGAGGAACAGAAACTGACAAGAGGCAATTAGTGAATGGTCTATAAGTGATAATTAAGGCTATTAATTTGGAAGGCACAAAAGGTTGCATTCTAGAGAACTCCAGAATGTCCTATTCTTCCTTTGGACAACACTGATTTGGCTGTTTTAGGAGTGGTACTTATTAATACTAGATTTCCCTGCACTAGAAATAACAAACCTGTAAGCAGTAGACTTTTTACCTGGTGTGGACATTTGCTGCATGGGATTTGTTTGTGAGCTAATGTTATAGAAAATTCTGGTCACAGGACAGCAATTATGGAAGAATACAATGCCATACTAATTTGTAGTATGGAACATCTCTGAATACTCTTCAAGCTAACTTTGCAAAAAATAAGGCCTCAGCAGCGACATAGAGCTTGACTCTAGAAGTAGCTTCAAGTATGTAGTTTTTCTGCAAGTTCAAACGGGTAGGATTTATATTCTTAGATTTTCTAGATCTAGTAGTAAAACTAGATTTTACTACTTTACTCATTAATAAAGAAAATGGCTGAAACAACCTATTTCTTGTAGTGGTTATTTGAAAACAATAAAGCCTGGGGGCACAGAAGAATCTTGCTGTTTTAGAGAGCTGGAGACCTTCACCTGCCAAGTTTTGTTTCTTTTATTTTAATTTTCAAGCTTAACTAAGACTTTGTAGTGCATAGGTAAAAGTCTGTGTTCTCTTCTAATTCAGGAGCCTTTTGTGTCTGTTCCAACACTGGCCTCCATGTTTCGGGGCCTTGGTTTTGAGATAGCTCCTAGGCCTCCTTTGGGTAAGTTCTCTTGCTATATAGAATCTTCTTTCTTATACTTCAATAATTATCTTTGGCACTGTACAAATAACTTGTGTTCTATCTTGACTTTATTTTTGAAACAGTCTATCCAGGTCGAGGCATTTTGGGGAGAGGAATAGGTGACATGAACATGAAACCCAGAGTAGATGTCCCAACACAGCAGATCTGTACAGGGTTGAGAGCAGGGCCAGCTGGAGACAGCAAGGTGGAGCCGGTGCTTCTTGGCCGTGGCATGTGAGTTAAGCAATGTCGGGGTCAAGGTGGTTGGATAAAAATGAAAGATTGCATTAAACACCCTGTAATTATTCGGTTACTTTGATTGATATACTCCTTGGACAACTGAAGTGAACTTAGTGCTCGGTTTATCAACTTTCTGATTTAAGTTTCAATGATAAATGGCTGCATTTATTTTAATCAGAAAGGTGTTGTGACAGTTATGTATAGCTAATTACAAACAGAACCCCCAGTCCTGTGAAAGCTAGCACTCATAATTTATGTCACACTGTATATCTGCAACTTTCCATTCTAAAATATTGCGGCTTTCAGGAACAAAACAACAAAATTGTCTGTTTTCTGATTTTTTTAAGTAGTGAAGGTTTATTAGTATTTTAAGTAGTGATTAAGTAGTTATTTTAAGTAGAGAAGAGATATTAATGAGATTTATCTTACGTGAACATTGCATTTAACTTGCAGTTTGCAATTTTTTTTATTTCTGTAATACTTATATTTAATGCCCTTTAAGTTTTAAGTTTGGATTCAGAAAATCCAGGTTCAATTTAAACTGAAAAACTGAATTTTCAAACACACCAGACATCGAGAGCCAGTTTGGTAAAGTGGTTAAGGAGCTGGACTGGAAACTAGGAGTCCTTGCTTAGGCACAGAAGCCAGCTGGGTGACCTTGGGCCAGTCCCCCTCTCTCAGCCCAACCCACCACACAGGGTGGCTGTGGGGAAAATGGGAGGAAGGAGTATTATGTATGCCACCTTGAGATGTACAAATAAAAGTGGGATACAAATCAAATAAATAAAAGCATAAAAGGAGTGCAGAAAATTTAGCTTTGTGGGTTTTGGTCCTTTTTTTCCTTTCAAATATTCTCCAGGGTACCAAGTTATGTGGAAAGTGAAAAGCCTTTTTTCGGGCTTGGAAGAGGAGTCTTGGGGCTTGGTCACACCCACATAAGACCCTCTACCTCGGGTATAGAAAGTCTTCATTCAGCGCCATCAAAGGAGCCCAGTCCAGAGATTCCTTCTGTAGTTTCAGATGAGCACTTGGATAAAAAGTAAGTGAGAAATGGTATGAACAAAGCAACAAAGCCAGATTCCTCTGTAGAGTATTAAATCTTAGATACCATAGTGCTGAGGTCAGTAAAAGAGATGGGGCTGTTTTTTCAGCTCTTTTTGCATCTGAGGGAGGATTTTAAGTAGGGGAATGGGCACAGAAATGCTCTGGGAACAACCATTCCCTCCCTAAAAGCTACTCCCTCTAAATAGCCCAAAATCACGTAGCTGAAATTTAGTGATTTTAATTGTGAGGTGTAATGGGAATCTGCAAGCTGCATGTTGTCCATCCTTGGTAGCCTTGACTGAAGTAATTTAGAAATTCATAAATAAAATCATGGATCAGTGAATAATCCATCAAAGTAACCAGGGATCTTTCATTCCTGAACCTAAATCTGAACTCTGACACTAGGCTGCAGCAGATTTAAATTTAAATTGGTTTCTTCCAAAATCACTGAGAAGCTATCGTTATCTCTCATTTTTGAACTGGGAAGAGAAGATTAGAGACTGGGGAATAATTGTCCAGATTCAGAAGTGTAATCAAGATTACTACAAAAGCCAGAAATATTTTCCCTCAACTGATTCCTTTAGATACTGGAAATCATCTCTCTTTTAAGGATTTGTAAACAATCTTGTGAAGATACAACTTGTTAATACCAAATTTTAGCACATCTGTTATCCAAAACTGGTTCTTGGTTACTGTTTCTATTCTGATTCTTTGAACACTGAAGAGTAAGTGCTATTGAATGGAAGTACAGTATTCATGAGGTTCAGCAGCCTCATGCCTTTATTATGATACTGTCTTTTCTCTTAAGTGAATCAGAGAAATTATTTCAAGTACACTTTTGTCCTTCCAGAGAACCATTTATGAAGCAAGGGTTGAAAGGGATATCGATCCCTTTGGCACTGAATCTGATTCAAATACACTGTAAAAATGAAGCTGTGTATCAATACCACGTAACGTTCAGGTAGTAGTCCTTGAATCTTACTCTTTCCTTGACAGTTGAAGACAGTTGCTTTGTGGTCTGTAATGGCTTCAGAAGCTGAATGTGAGCAGAAGTAATTTTTAACTCAAATCATTCTCCAGGTTGAGTCCAACTAATATGCTTCTTCCCATATTCTTGGAATTTTATATGCTAGGATTTAAAGGAATATAAATTGTGTTTTCTAATCTTGAGGCTATGTGGAATATCATTCACATTTTCTAACCATTGAGGCTATCTTGATAAAGTGTTTTTGAAAGCATCAGTTGCTAACATTGTGAGGTGGTCTTGACAGAGCTAGGAAGATTGTTATTCTCAACCAAAATATTTATTGCATCCAGGGGCAACAGTTTTAATCTAAGCAATCTGACTATTGTTGCTACTGTGTTAAAGTTTTCGGAGGGACCTTCAAATTGTCTGCTCATTGATGTATATCAGTTGATGACATAAGGCTGTATGGAACCTGAATAATTTCTTGTGGAAATGCAATCTAAAGTCCATACGTCTTATTTGAAGCCTTCACTGAAAAAGGAAACAGTCAAAGCTCTTCCTTGATGCTGTCTTTCAGTGCAATAGTATAGCCACCAGCTTGTGAGGGCTGCCTTTCTATTCACAATATTAAGAAATCTTGAATGTATTGTGACATTTTTCAGACTGGATTTGTCATTTTAGGTCTTGGGATAAACTAGGACAATGCAGCTTTTGGTTAAGATGAACAGAAACACTTTTGTTTTTTTAACAAAAATGTACTGCCGGCATCATCTTTTTTTTTTTTTCACTTTCCTCTTGACTTTCAGGCCAGAGGTGGAATGTAAAAGCATGCGTTTTGGGATGCTGAAGGAACATAAATCAGTGACAGGAGACATTACCGCATTTGATGGCTCTATTCTCTACTTACCTATCAAGTTGCCTCAAGTAAGGCTGGAGGAAGGAACAGAAAAGTTTGCTGGAACCAATCTATCTGACATTGGGTGTTTCATCCCAAATCCTCATCAGTGCTAGTTGACCAACCCCCCCAACCCCCCACTCCCTTTGGATGGGACATCACCTGAAATTCTTCTGTTATGTAGGAGTAGCAAAGCTACTACTGAGCTTGAGGTGTTTCTAGTTCATGACGACAGATTCTTTTTAAAAAGGCAAATAGAAACTCTGGTGTTTTCACCTAGAGCAGATAAAAAGAACTTTGGATTAAAGCATTCTCTTTGCTCTGGATACTGTCTGAATGTTTTTTTTACCCATCTATCAGTTTAGAATTGAATGATGCCCTGTTTGTTTATTCTTCTGAGTTATACTGCAACTGAAAGGAATGTGAAAATATTGAAATGCACCTTATGAAATGAGCCAAAGGAAGTAACTTTCCTTCCCCCTTTTCCAGTTGATTTCTCCAATTGCAATAAGTGGCAGGATAGCTGAATTCCTCAGATGACTATATAGCTTAGCTGTATCAATGGGCATGATATTAGTGGAAAGCTTTCTGTTCCAGATATATATATAATATATATCTAATATCTAATATATAATAAAATATATAATATTTTTATTGAAGTTTTACATATATAAAAGCTAATACAAAACTAAAAAGATGTACAAATAAAAAAGAAAAAAATATTAAAGAGGGAAAGAAAAAAAATACATGAAAAGTGACTTCCCCTTCCCTCCAAACAAAGATAAGCATTTACAATAACTTAACACCTTCCAAATACAGCCATTATAGAAAAAGAACTCTTCTTCCCGTTTCTCATCCCTACTGTTCCAGATACTTGTATGAAGGTGCCCAGAGTGGTGTACTTGGGCATTCCCCTCCTTCCCTGCCCATCACAGCTATCCATGAGGTAGATTGAGCTGAGAGAGACTAGCTCAAAGTCATCCGGTTTGCTGTGGGTTAAAGGGGACCTGAACCAGCATTGCCCTGGTCGCTACGCAATATCTTCATCAGTGTAACCCAAAAGTATTAGAGACCTAAAATTAATTGGCTTTCTACTTCAAGGTTTTGTTAAGAGAGGATGTTACATTAAGCATGAACTTGCTTTCAAGGGTGCCTCTTCAAGGTCTGTACACCCATTACGAAGAAAAAGGTTGTCCTTCAGCTTTCATGTGGTTTTGTTAACAGAAAACATAAGAATTGGCAGTATAGCAAAAGAATAAGTATATCAATACAGTATGCAGATTCAGCGGCAACAAAATAACGGGCTTAGTTATAAACAATGGTTTGTTTCACTTGTGCTTTTTGCTTCACTTTCTCTTTATTTTGTGTTGATGAATTTGAAAACAAGTGACCTGGAAAAACAAAACAGTCTGAAATGTTACACTTGTGAGCTTAAAATGGCTAAGTTATACCTTGTATCTTTTTACTACAATATTTACTTATTGCAGCAACTGGAAATGATAACTATTCTGTAGTAAACAAAATTCTTTTGGAATTCTTAGGCTATCTTACCAACTTGTATTTGAGTTCTTATAGAATATATTTCTTCTACTTTAGAATATTGACCTGAAGTGTCAGAGAAAGACAGATGGAATGGAGATCGATATAAAGATTCAGATGACCAGAATTCTGGAACCGAGCTCAGACTTGTGCATCCCATTTTACAATGTTGTTTTTAGAAGGTGCGTAATTACTGCTGTCTCACATCTGGACTTGAAGTATCCCATAAATATAGCCTTTCTTAAAATAACTAAATGTTATACAAAATATCGATATTAAAATGTTTAGACCTATTTTCTTTTCACTGAATTTGTTTGTCAAATAATTTGAGCTGAAATTTATCTTTTCAAAGCAAGAGCAAGCATGTGACTGAATGTTGACCAATATGAATGACATATAATATCTCTTAACATTTCTAATTTGTGTGATAATACTTCAGGTTGATTAAATGAACATGGGTATTCTTACTTGGTATATCATAGCAAAAGATTGATTGGCCAATCCTAGAAAAACTTTACACAATTAATAGTTCAAGTACAATTACTAACTCATGTATTGGTTTTAAAGCCAGTTTGTTTAAGGCATTACAGCTCTAAACCATGAATCTGTGTGTCTGCTCAGAAGGGCGTGTGCAGCTTACATAATGAAAATGTTGTACAGTACTGTACTGTACATAAACATGCTGTACAGTAAAGGGATGGGATTTAACTTTTTGTGCTGTGCAATAAGTATTATATGGTTATTACATGAAGTATAATTGGTGCCAAGGCTCTATTTTTAAATGGATGTATGTTATAGTGGCCAGTTGGTATCTATATCATTTCAGTATAGGTAAAAAATAAAAGGAGTGATTATAAATTATTTTGATTGGTTCCTTTTCTTGGTGATTGAAATTGTCTCAATTTCAGTAAGTCTCTTCCATTCTGGAAATACATCAGTATTCTCTGTCAGCAATACACTTTATTGCAGCCTGATCTAATCAATTTGTGTTTAGGATTGGTTTCAGCTTTGGGACCTCTGGCCACATAGAGAAGTGCGGTGTAAGATTATATATAGTAATGTACTCTTAAGGGGAAAAACCTTCATTGGCCTTTCGATCAATCTCTATTTTAACTGAAGAGCACAGGATAGTGAAAACTTTGCACTTGCTCATCAGGCTAGAAAAGAAAACGGGAGTCACTATTATTAAAACAATGGAGCCTGCATTTAGACTCAGTCTTGAGATGAAAAGTGGAATGAGGCTGTTCCACGTCTGCTGCTCTGTTAAATGCTGCGATGCACCTGGGTTTGGGGTTGTGCTTAGGAGTTTCCCTAGAATTCCTGAAATAAAGAAACAGAAGCAAAGAGGCTGACACCAGACGTGACCGTTGTCAGAAACATGAGGTGGGTGTCCTTCACATTCAAGGCCAAGAAACAAGTGGCAGGAAGTCCATTGTAAGAATGGGAGAAAGAGATGCAACTCTTAATTCTGGGTCTGCTCTAAAGATGTTTGATAACTAAATCCTTTGGGAGCTGATCTTCTTTACATTATTGTAAAGCTTTTTGTATTGACAATAAAAGCACCTTATCTCCACAAGCCCAGTCCTTGACTCTTCCCTGCTAATTGCTGAGTATGGGCTTGTGTTTCTAGAGAGAAAGATTGCCAGACCTTGGGTGTAGCTGTAACATTTTCCATACTTTTTGGTGCCTTTTCAGTTAACTTAAAGTATTATTTTTGTATGGGATTTCTAATTTTTCCTAAGGCTAATATATTTAGTTAGTTAGTTATTAAATTTGTATGCTGCCCATCTCCCCCCAACGGGTGACTCTGGGCAGCTCACAGTTAAAATCAGAAACCCCATCAACAATTAAAAATCCCCCCATAAATAGTCAAATAAATAATCCATTAAAAATCAAATCTAAACAAACCAACCCTGTACATAAATACTAAAAACATTCAAGATGACCGGGGGGGGCAAGGTCAATCACCCCATAAGCCACCTCCACTGGTGCGAGCCCCCATCCGACCCCCAGGCCTTCTGGCACAGCCAGGATTTCACCCCTTTCCTGAAGGCCATGAGAGTGGGGGCACACTGGGCCTCGGAAGGCAGATTGTTCCATAGGGTGGGGGCCACAGCAGAAAATGCCCTCTGCCTAGATCCCACCAGCTGAAATTCCTTGACCGGTGGGGTCTGCAACATGCCCCTTGAGTGGGGCGGGCTGAATTAACAGGGGCAAGACAGCTCCTCAGATAACCTGGTCCTGTGCCATAAAGGGCTTTAAAAGTGATGACCAACACCTTGAATTGGACCCGGAAGCAGACTGGCACCCAATGCAGCTCACGTAACAGTGATGGTATATGTGCCCTCCTAGGGGCATTCAGAATTGTCTGCGCCGCCGCATTCCGTACCAGGTGAAGCTTCCGGATACTCTTCAAGGGTAGCCCCATGTAGAGCGTGTTACAGTAATCCACCCGGGAGGTGACCAGGGCATGAGTGACTCTGCAGATACATCAACTCTGGCTTTTTATTTTTCTTTAGAGAAAGGAAATGTTTCACTAGATACTAATGTCTTCTGTTCTCTTTTGTAAATGGGACTGGCAGAGTAATAATGAGTTTTTTTGTGCCATGAATTCAGGCCTTAAATAGCAATCTCAATTTCCCAGTGTCTTTATTGTCTTGGTTTTTTATTTCATTCCAGGGTGATGAGGATTTTAGATATGAAACTTGTTGGGAGAAATTTCTATGATCCCACCAGTGCTACTGTGCTTCAGCAGTACAGGTTGGTATGTTGCTTTGTGCACTCCGGGGTTTCAGTAAATAGTCTTTTGTGGACTCTCTGGTTATTTGAAATATATCTGTGCAATAGAAGCAACATTCTTTTAAAATATATGCATGTGCTATTATGTTTTCATACATTCTAGAGCAAAAACTCAGAGGCAAATTGAGTCGCTTCAGCTACTTGCAGGATATAGCAAAAACCGCTGCCTTGTATCTCTGGAAAGACTAAAAAAAATACATTGGCATATTTTGATGGATTATTGTATTTATTTATTTGTGGAATTCATCAGCTGCCTCAATCCTAGTAAGCTCTGGGAGGTCTATAGATATTAGAGCAGTGTTTCTCAACCTTGGCCACTTTAACAGGAGTGGACTTCAACTCCCAGAATTCCCCAGCCAGCCATGCTGGC